TTTTCAATGGTGTAGTCTGTAGGAAAAGCTGGGAATTCTGGAAAACACATGGTTTTTCAATGGGGTAGTCTCTGGCAAAAGCTGGAAAAGCTGGCAAAGCTGGAGAACACAAGGTTTTTCCATTGTGTAGTCTCTGGGAAAAACTGGAAAAGCTGGAAACCACATAGTTCTTCAATGGGTAGTCTCTGGGACAAACTGGAAAAGCTGGAACAGCTGGAACACACATGGTTTTTCTTTGTAGTCTCTGGGAAAAGCTGGACAAGCTGGAAAACACATGGTTTTTCAATGGTGTAGTCTCTGGCAAAAGCTGGAACAGCTGGGAAAGCTGGAAAACGCATTGTTTTTTCAATGGGTAGTCTGTGGGACAACCTGGAACAACTGGAAAACATATGCTTTTGGAGAGAGAGAGAGAGAGAGAAAAAAAGAGAGAAAGAGAGAGAGAGGAAACAAAACGAAAGAAAGAAAGAGATAGCGAGAGAGAGAGAGAGAGATGAGAGAGAGAGAGAGAGACATAGAGAGAGAGAGAGAGAGAGAGACAGAGAGAGAGAGAGAGAGACACAGAGAGAGAAAGGTATGATACTGGGGGGGGGGCGTCCACACACATAGTATGTATATATCTATATACACACATATATATAGATGTATCATGTGTATATATGTATACAGATATAGAAGAAGGATGGTGGGTTAGGCAGAAGGCAAAATGCTAGGCCGCAATTAACAGCCGAATGAGGAATGCACTCGTAAGCTTAGACGAAGTGGAGGCACGACGGCTAGTTAGAAGAGAAGAGGGCAAGAAGGACGACAATGAGTGACAGTGTGCCACAAGGGAGGATGCATGATGTGGAGAATAATGGGGATGAGGGTGAAGAGAAGGAGGACAGGAAAAGAACATGAGTGGGAGAGGGGGGAAGGACGAAGCGGGAGCGGGGTATGAGATGGATTGAGTTTGGCGCTCCCCGAAGCGGCCCCTGGTACCCACTGGCGGGAGACTGACAACTTGTGCTATGGCACTCTGTTCTGTGTTCGTGGCACCTGGAAGTTCACGTAGCTCGAGGAGGAGAGATCGGATGGCATCCCTATCGCAAGTGTCCGAAGGGGTCGAAACGACGGGAACGTCCGTTGTCCCATCGGATCAATGTGGCCCTCCTCGACCTCGTGACAATCCCAATGTCTTACAGCTGGTGCCGCTAGCATTGCACGAGGCCTTTGACGTGAACGGTACACACTACAGCGAGCACGCGCGCGAATTCCTACCAACAACAATCGCGCACTCGGCATGCGAGGTCGAGGGTTACGCTCCGGGTGTAGAAGTGAGCCCGCGCACATGGAGGAGAAGGAGGAGGAGGAAGAAGAGGAGGAGGGGGAGGGGGAGGAGGGGGAGGAGGAGGAAGAGGAGGAGGAAGTAGAGGAGGAGGAGGAGGAGGAGGAGGAGGAGGAGGAGGAGGAGGAGGAGGAGGAGGAAGAGGAGGACGAAGAGGAGGGGGAGGAGGGGGAGGAGGGGGAGGAGGAGGAATAGGAGGAGGAGAGGGATGAGAGGGACGAGGGGGAAGAGGAAGAGGAGGAGGAAGAAGAGGAGGAGGAGGGCAGCAGGACAATCGACTTTCGGAAGTCCCCGCGGATCTCGTGGGTCGGCTTCGGGCCCGTCTCCCCTCGCACCCCCCATCCCCGGTGCGAGGAGAGCGCACGCAAGAAATCCGCGCGGGCCTCTGAACATGTCTTCTGCATCTGCGTGCCGTCTTCCATGGAGAGCGTGCGCGTAACGAAGGGAGGAAACACACACACACACACACACTCCTCCCGTTCCGTTCCGTAGCGGCTTGGAACGTGCCAATCTCTGGAGAAAATCGTGCATTGGATGTGGGACAGTATGGAAAGGCAGGCGTCACTCCTCTGGAAGCGCTTGGATCACAACTTCACTCGTCCTCCTCCCCTCCCCCCTCCTCCCCCTCCTCCTCCTCCTCCTCTTCCTCCTCCTCCTCCTCCTCCTCGTCCTCCTCCTCCTCCTCCTCCTCCTCCTCCTCCTCCTCCCCCTCCTTCCTCATCTCTTCGTCCTCCGCCACCCTCCTCTTTCATTGGCCGCGAGCCCAGAGGGGAAGTGAGGGGGGGAAGGACTTCTCAAAAGGCGGCGGAGCTTCTCAGAAACCCTCGCGCCTTCTGAGAAGCCCTCTAGGCCTTCCACCAAGACAGAGACGGCTCCTGAGAAGGTCGAAGAGGGCTTCTGGGAGGCCGCGCCGCCTTCCTGCCCCCTCTCACTTCCCACCTAGGCTCGCCGCCGACTCCAAGCCGAGAGCAATGCGTAAGCATACGCGGGAACGCAGCGAACCTTGCCCGTGGTGCGCGACTGGCACCGCTCCCAGCCGGGTGGCAGCCCCTGCCCTCGAAGACCCATCCGCTGGAGACGGCCTGTTTTCTGCAGAAGTCGTTGTCGACGTTGCCATCGGCCTTGCACCGAAGTCGTCGTCAGCGTCAGCCTGGACGCGGTCGTGTCTGTCGTCGGCTTCGTCTCCGTTGTCGTCGTCATCGTCGTCGTCGTCGTCGTTGTCGTCGCCGCTTCCGCGGTCGTGGACGTCGTGGTCGTCGCCGTCGTGGTCGTGGTCGTGGTCGTCGTCGTCGTCGTCTTACAATTTTTGTGTGTATCTCTCTCTCTCTCTTTTCCTCCTCCTCCTCCTCCTCACTCACCTCCTGCTGCCCACCATCGCCGTCGCAATCGTCGTCTTTGTCGTCGTGCTCCTCTTCGTGCTCCCTTTCGCCCCCCTCTCTCCCATCCTCCTACTCCCTCCCTTCCTCCATCCCTCCTTCTCCTCCCTCCTCTTCCCCCTCCTCATCCTCCTCCTCCCAACTCCTCCCGTCCGCTGGGGCGTGTCCTTTTTCGCAATCATCTTGTAGTGTTGGGTCCTCGTTTTGAAAAGACAGCTCCCCGCGGCACTCCTTCCTTCTCTCACTCCTCCTCCCCTCCTCACTCCTTCCTCACTCCTCCCATCGCTGCCTCTGCCCTCCGCATGTCCGTGCCGGCACACCTCTCAAATGTTTCGGGGCCCCATCGTGAGCTCCACCGAAGGCCCCAGCGGCAGGGCTCGCATGGCGCACCCGCCCCAAACTTGGCACACGACAGTATGCGTGTCGTGGCTGAGGGAGCTCCAGCGAAGGCCCCAGCGGCAGTGTTCGCATGGCACACCCGCCCCCAATTCAGCACACACACGCACACTCCCCCCCCCCCCCCACACACACGCATTCATACAAAAAGCACACACCAACACAGAACACACAACACATAACACACAACACACACAGCACACACAGCACACACGCACACACGCACACACCTCATACGTTTCGTGGCCCCCTAGGGAACATGTCTCGTAGCCCTGTAGGGAGTTCCCCTCCCCTCGCCCCGCTTGCCCGGCGGTGCTCGCGCCTGCATGTCGTTGGGTCCGCTCCACCGAAGGCCCCTGTGGCAGGGCTCGCCAGGCGCACGGCCCCAAATCTGGCCCCGCCCCTCGCGCACGTCGTGGCCCCCGTAGGAATCTCCAACGAAGGGCCCCAGCGACAGGGTTTGCACGGCGCGCCCGCCCCAACTCGGCGCACCCCACGACGCGTGTTGTGGCCCCAGAGGGAGCTCCACAGGAGGCCCTGGCGGCAGGGCTCGCATGGCGTACCCGCCTCCAACTCGGCACACACCTCACACGCTTGTTTCGTGGCCCCGTAGGGACCTCGCCTTGTGGCCCTATAGGTAATTGCCCGTCCTTCGTCCCACTTGCCTTGCGGTGCTTACGTCTGCGTGTGGTTGCGTCCGTCGCCACAGTATCTGTTGGGATTTGTTTGACGGACTCCTCGTCGATCCCCTCCTTGTGCAATTCCCTTTCTCCACTTCCCCTTCTTCCCTTTTTGATCTCTTCCCCTCCTTCTGCTCCTCTCAGAAGAAAGGTTGGGGAGGGGGTGGGGGGGTGGGGTGGGGGCAGGATGAGGAAGATCGGGGAGGAGGCGGATGAGGAGGGCTGAGAGCAATGAGGAAGTTGATGATGAACCAACCGAGGGTGCGGCAACACAGGCAGTCTTGATCCTTCTACGCCTCCCCTCCCCTCCCCTCCTTCTCCATCCCTTTCCTTTACACGTATAGGTCTTCCTCGACGCACTACCATACTTGACGATAAGGCTGACCAAGCGTTCCCCCCACGAGAAACTCTTACCATTTACGGTCTTGGTCGGTCGCATCTCCAGCAGTTAGCTATACTGATTGAGGGCGGGTTATCGTGAAATCCTGCTCTCTCCTAAGCGCCGCGTGCATCTTACAAGTCCCCTATTGCTTCACATACGGGGAGATAGTGGTGATCCACATGTAGTTGCCGCCCTGTCGGCGCGCACATCCGCCTTGCACGTTGCGTGTGGTTTCCAATGCTCATCACATATCTTTCGCGATAGGGTCGCGGTCGTTGGTCTTGTACCTTCTACCTGTCAAGTGGATGGAACGTAGGCCATGTTCGGCATGCAGCTTTCGCCGTGGCGCCGCGCGCATCTAGTTTTACGCGTGCAACATCTGCACCATGGCTTTCGCTGGGCAGCTTCTTAGGATGTATGGCCATACCCTCGTGAATCTCTTCTGCACCAAGAGGAAGGAGGGTGGGCCATCTTCAAAACTAGCCTCCATCCTGAATGTCAGGCCCACGTGGCACTCGTCTTTCAAGGGGCGCTCACCTCAATAAGAAGGAACTAGCGTAATGATTTATGGGGAAAATGGCTTGGAACAGGATGGTGTGCTGCAACACCGATGAGGCAATCTGGATACATTATGGTCCTCTTCAGTCGGTCGGTCGGAAGTACGGTAAAGTAGACTTCAACTCCAGTGTCGCCAACTCTAAGCATTGGGCATCCAGGAACAAGTGGAGGGGGGGGACACCAGAACAGCACATGGGACGGCATCCTTAGCCAATACTCCCCGCAACCACCCCCGTATCTGCAGCAAAGAAGGGGGTACAGAGGCAGAGGGAGTTCAAAGACCTCTAGCGCAGGTTCTGGTCTTCCTCCGCTTGGCGTCGCCCACGCGCCTTCGTGCCTAGGTGGGGGTTGCCCTCAAAGGGGCAGTGTGGCCATGCCCGAAAGCAAGGGACGCCCTGCAAGATGGGCGGCCACCAACGTGTTCGCCACTCAGACTTCCCGGGCGGCGGCTTCAAGACGACAATCGCGACGGCTTCGATACAACGCCAGAGCTCCACGAGTCAGATCCGATCCTCCCCCTTGCGCCCACGGTTTCTTGCCATCCTCCTTCCCGTAGCTCCCTCCGCCCCACCCCGCCCTTTGCCCGCCCCTTCACCCCCCCCCGCCCTTCGCTGACCCCCCTTCCCGTCATCCTCGCGTCTTCCTGGCAAAACTCCAAACATAAAGGGGCCCCAGGACACACAAATAAATACACACAAATAAACATATTCCCCATATTTTCCCATATTTTCTGGGTTTTTGTCTTCCCCCCCACTTCCCATATTTTCCCATATTTTTGGGGGGATCGAGGATTAATTGTGTCTGTGTGTTTTTTCCTCTCCTGAAAACAGTCGGCTCCTCCGCAATCGCATCCGCGTGGCCGGCCGCGCTCCCGTTCGCGGGCGCGTCCCGCGTCGTGGATGAATTCCTGCCGGGGGGCGCAGCCCGACAGACCGTTGTCGTCGTCGTCATCGCCACCACCTCCCTCGTCGTCCGCTGCCGCCGTCATCATCATCGTCGCCGTCGTCGTCGTCGTCGTCGTCGTCGTCGTCTTCCTCCTCCTCCTTCTCCTCCTCCTCCTCGTCCTCGTCTTCGTCGTCGTCCTCCTCCTCCTCCTCCTCCTCCACCTCTCATTCCAAACTTCCCCATCGCCATCATCATCATCATCATCATCATCATCATCATCAGCATCATCATCATCATCACCATCATCATCACCACCATCATCATCACAAAAGCCACCACCGTCATCGACATCGCCATACTACTCATAATCAAAACCACAATCTTCATCATCACGGATATCACCATCATGCCCTGACGACTGTTTCTCCGATGACAAGGTTGGGTTGTATTCTAGAGCGAAGGGTTGCACCAAGGACCTGCGGCACGGTATTCGAGTTGAGCTCTGCAGAGAGGCCCACGGCCACGGTGAAGCATTGCAGTGGAAGGACAGGGATGGGCGGGAGGGAGCTCGAGAGCCGAAGGCTACGGTGTGCACTCTTTCGGCCTCTCACCCCCCCTCGTTTGGCATTGCACTTCGGAGAAAAAAGTCCATGCCCTGACGATCGTTTCTCCGAGGCCATTGTCGGATTATGCTCTGGAGGTAAAAGTTGCACCTGGAACTTACGGGCCTTGGCAGAAAGAGGGCACGAGCTGAGCTCTGCAAAAAGGCCCACGGCAAAACCTTTCTCGAACCAGCCCAGAGGCACCTCATCATATAGCTAGCAACCGAACCACTGGAAACATGGCCAGAGCACAAAACTGGACACGGGCATTTATCAGGGCGCGGGCCCGCCTTGACGCTGTCTGCGCTACGAGTGTCCAAAGGGGCCCTCCTGGAGAACGACCAGTTCAAATCTGGAGTGCCTTGCTAACCCTGCTGTGACAGCTACGCGAGCCCTGGCATGAGCGAGCGAATGACTCGACATTCATGCGAAAATCTAGGAAAGACCCGGAGAAACTAAACCACTGCCTAGACATTACATCATGATTCCCAATCGTGACAAGGATCTGCACGCGCCGGCAGCTAGCCCACAGGCCCAAGCACCAGATCTCGGGGTCGGAACTCAGCCAACTGGGCCACGTGCCAAAGCGCCCCGGCTTCCAGAGCGGCCCAGTGCCCCTGCCACTTGTCCAGGTCTGGCACTGGACCCCGAATCGCATGCCCCAGATGAGGCCTGCATCCAGCTAGCCGCGCAGCTGGCGGGCGACCTTCGGGGCGATTCCCGGGCGATGTACCGCTCGACGACGAGGGCGCCCTCCTTGCGCAGGGCATCCGCCAGGGCGCCCGCGCCCGAGAACACCGCCGCGAGGACTGGCGAGGGCAAGGAACCTGCGCTCCCCCGGCAGACCCCCCCCCTGCCGGCGCACCTGGGGCGTCGGCAACCCGACGCCCACGTCGACCGCCGCGTGCTCGAAGGCGGCGCTGGCCTCCAGGAGGGCGATCAGGAACAGCAGCGTGTTCGGGGGGGGGGGCGTCGCCTTCAGCCACTGGAGCGCCGCGGGCAGAACCTGTCGAAGGGCGCGTCGGAGGGGGGCGCCGTGTCGCAGATCTGAGTCTTGCTCGGAACCGCCAGCTCGCAGGGCTGGCGACCAGCCCTCGCGCGCGCCCCCCTGCGCGGGGGGGATCAGGTGAGTCCCCGGTGACCTGAGGGCCTCCGAGGGCCGCGGGTGGCCGGCCAAGGTCGCCAGCGTGTTGATCACGACCCGCTGCTGGCCCATGCCTGTCAGCCTCGTCACGATGAGGGCGACGATCTCCCAGGGGGGCGCGGGCCTGGCGCGGGCGGGCACCTCGCGCCGCCGGCCGCGCAGAGCCTGCAGAGCCAGCGGCAGCCCTGGCCGCGCCCCGCCGCGCGAATTGCGGCATCATGAATTTCAGCGCCGCTGGCATGTGAGCACCCCGCTCGGGATTCCACCCCTCGGCGCACTGCCCATCCATCCAGCAGCTTGTCCGCTGTCTCCGTCAGAAGCGGCCGGGGTGGTCGCCGGCCGCTCGGAGAGCTCCCGCCAGAAGACGAGGTAATTGATCCCTGTGGTCTCGATCACCGAGAGCGCCCTCAGCGCATGCCCCGCGGGGCCCAGCATGGCTGCGGGCGCCCAAGCTGCGGCCCGCGTTGTCCGCTGGGGCGCGGGCTGGTGGCCGCGCTGGCGCGGCATGCCGGGCAGGCGGTGCCTGGCGAGCGGCTGCCTCGCCAGCCTGCGCGGCGACTGGACTGGCGACTGCGTCCAACTGGAGCCGCGCGCCAATCCGAAATGACCTCCGCGACGGCAGGTCGGCTGGGCTCGCCGCCGAGGGGATCCTGCGCCGCGCGACGGCGGCGCCGCCAGCGACGGCCAACTCGGCCCACTGGCAGCAGACGCGGCCATCTTCGGCCGCGAAGACCAGCCCGTAGAGGGAGCCAAGCCAGGACGGCCGCGAGGTTGTCCGAGAGGAAAAGAACGCGGTCACCAAGCTGACTGGAGACTCGAAGAGAATGCTATGATAGCCCCCCGTCCATCGTGGCGATGTGCTCCCCGCGCTCCCAAGTCCCACCAGACATGGCGGCCCGCCCTCCCGAGACGACCTCCGCGTCCAAAGGCTTGAAGGTTGTGCGCTGCTGTGGCTTGTGCTGACAATGCATCAAGACAGGGGCCATCGTGGTCTCGGTGTGAGAGGGTTTCGTGGCTGAACTCGCGGTGCTGCTCGTATGTGCACTGCTGCACGTAGCTTTCGACGCTCTCGAACATTTCGCGAATGAGATAGGCTGGCGAATGCTGACCGTTGGTTTTGAGGACGGCATGCTGCTGCTGCCGCTGCAGCTGCTGCTCTCGATCTTGAAGGCCTGCTATGTACAGGCCATGGAATCGCCGGCGCTCTTGAACCCTGCCGAGCCCCCGGGCGGCGCCCGTGTCGCGATCGCGCTCGCACTCCCCTCGGCCCCGCTCGGAAGCATCCGCGCGCGCGAAGGGCCTGCCCACTCCGCCAGGAGGTCAGCGTGGGTGGCGCTGCGCCCGCGGCCCACGACGGCCCCCCGCGCGCGCGAGGCAACCGCGCCCGCGGCGGCTCCGCCGCCTTCGCGATGAAGCGGCGGAGAAGAAATAGGCAGGATCGGGCGTCTCGCCAAAGGTGTCGATGCTGAGCCGGCACCTTCGGCCTCGCGAGGAGGGCCCAGGCGGCCGGGATGAGCCGCCAGGCCCTCTGAGGAGCTGGGGAGATGGAGCCGCGGCGGCAGCCGATCGCCCGGGCCAGCAGCTGAGCCTGGGGCGCGGCCGGCTGCCCCCCGCGCGCTGGCAGCCCACTCGGTCGCAGCTCTGTCTCCGTGGCCTCCTTCATCTGGTGAGTGACGGAGGGGTCCAACGAGAGCGCGACGTCTGGCGATCCTCGATCCTCGAAGCGGGCGACAGCCCGGCGCGGTCGGCGGCCGACTCGGGCACCTGATGACAGACTGCGAGGGCGCGCGCCCAGCGCATGAGCAGCGCCGCGAGCCGCGGCCAGACCATTCGAGGCTGGCCCTCCCCCGCCCCTGTTGCCCGCCCCAGCCGCCAGGCGTCAGTGGGCGGGGGGGCGAAGCGGGGGCGCCGGGCCTGAGAAGGTTCCATGTTGTAGAACGCAACAGCGATGTCGGCCACGAGCGGGCGCCGTCGGAGAGCTCCACAGCCGCCAGCGCCGCGCCCGCGGCGAAGTGGACATCCGCGGTCGCGCCGAACCAGAAGATGGCAGGCTGGGCGTCCACGACCCGCCGCTGCCGCCCGCTCGGGCGCGCTGAGGAGGCCGACCTCGTCGATCGCGCCCCCTGGGTCGCCGGCGAAGTCGATGGCTGATGTCGAGCAGCCGCGTCAGCGGGGCTGCGCGGCGCTGGCGGCCGCGCAGGGCTGGGTCCATGCAGGGCCGCTGGAAGCCGCCATCCCGCTTCCACTGCAAAACTTCGGTCAGCGGCAAGACCTTGCTGGGAAAATCATGGCGGACGTCGTGGGGGCCTCGGGCTCCAACGTCCGATCCAGCGCCGCAGGGTGATTGCTGGGCGGAGGAAGCGAGAGCCGGGGAACGTCGATCGCCTACGCCCTGGTCGACAGCGCGCCGTCGTGGGACAGGGTCGCCTGGAGTTCCTGAAGGGCTGCCAACTGTTAGGGGTGACTCGGCGGGCGGCCCAGACGGGAGACGGACTCTCCGCCGTCCTCTCCAAGCACCGTCGCTGCGCCGCCGCGTCGTCGGCAGGGGCGCCGCCGCCGCTGTCTCCGCCGCCGCTGAAGCCGCCGGGCGACTCCACCGCCTGCCTGGCCAGCCGCGGCGCCGACGCCTCCTGGCGCTCGCGCGCCTCCTCGTGCCGCGCGAGCGCCTGCCTCCAGCCGACCTGCCGGGGTCGGCCGCGGCTGGCGCGCGCGGCGGAAAAGGCCCCGCTGCCAATCCGCGCCCGCCGCGCGTGCCACTCGCATCCCCGCCGCCGCAGGAGAACAAAATGGCGCCCGGATTGGTTGGGCCTGGCGGCCCCTCCGGGACCGAGATCATCATGACTTCGCGCCTCCAGCCCTGGGGGCGGCCGTCGCCCCCTCCCGCGCCGCGCGGGCGTTTTTCGGATGACTCATGCGCTCGAGCTCCCTGCCGGCGACGCCCGGCAAGGCGGGGCCGATCACGCTGTGTGCTGCTCGGGCGACTGGCCAAGCTGGTGCCGCCCATGAAAGCGTTGACCTCTTCCTGTGACATCCTCCACTGGCTCAAATTCTGCCCGCGCTCTTCTCCTCCCAGAAGTGTTCGATAAACTGCATCTTCCGTGCTGAGGGCGTGGTGCTCTGCGACCCTGTAGTCCGAGGTGGTCAGCCGCTTCCGAGCCTTCCAACTTTCCGATGCTGGATCGGCACGCCTTTGCGCGGCAACGAGGGCACGCGCCAAGCGGTCGACCGCGGCATGGGCGTGAACTTCGGGTCGGGGACCTCATTCGCGACCTCCGCGACAGAGAGCCAGCTCCGTGGGCCGCCACCCCCAGGCTCTCGCGCGAGGTTTCGAGGGTCGGACCTGCGCCAGTGCCCGATGAAGTCGGCCCAGCGCCAGTCCTCCAGGAGGAACGCCACGCCCGAAATCCCGCTGCCGAGGACGACCGCCGCGCGGCGACCCACGCGAGCTGACGGGATGATCCCGCTGACCGGCCCCACCTGGACGACGGACCCGAAGGCGAACGTGCCCACGCCCGCGGCGAGCACCCAGAACCAGCCTACCGGCGCCTCCCAGTTGGGCCCCAGGGGAGGCCCGCTGTTGGCCCCTGGGCCGGGCGGCGCGCCGATGGCGGGATCGAGGGGCCCAGCCAGCGACGGGCGCAGCCGCAGCGGGGGCGCCAAGGCGACGGGCGGCAAGGCCGCCGGAGGCAACGCACCAGCAGCGGCTCCGCCCGCCAGAGGCGTTCCCGTGGGCGGCCCGGCAGCGGGCACCACGGCGCCCCTTTGACGCCGGAGGAGGGGCGGCCGCGGCAAGGCGTCAGCCGCTGGCACTTGCGCCGCGGCCACTAGGAATAACCCCCATCCATGTGGACGAGAACTCCTCCCGGTGGGACCGCCGCGCCTCGGCAGCGGCGGGCGAGCTCGGCCTCCGCCTCGGCCGTGGCGGCGACCTCGCGAACGGCCGACGGCCAGTGTGCAACAGCGAATCGCACCGCCGCGATGTCAGGCCCCGCCGCCAGCAACTGCTCAGCGTAGACCATGTCGTCGGGCGTCACTATGAGCACGTCGTCCGTGAGTGCCAATCGGTCCACTATCTTCCTCTGGTGGAAGCGGCGCTCCGCCCACGTTGTACAAGACCCACACCCAGGCCTCCGCCATCGCTGGCAGCAGTGACAGCCATGGGGGTTGGCAGAGCGGCTGGAGGAGCAGACGGCGACGTCCTGGCCCTAGGCGGCGGGCTCCTGACTTCGGCGGTTAAGCGGAGTGGGCCCCACACGCGCATCGCGGCGATGGCGGCGAGCACGCCGCAGGAGGCACTGGCGAACGCTGCCGCCGTGCAGAACACGGCCACTATCCCCGCGGTAACACCCACGGTCGATTCTGAGCACGGCGGGCACGCCGGGCATGCGGGGCAGGCGGATACGTGCGTCGACGGGCAGCGAGTGACCCAGGCCTGCAGCGCCAGCACACCTCATCGGTCCAGCAGCCCCAGCAAGCCCTCCAGGAGGCCCAACCAAGCCAAGCACTGCGGGCCCCCGCGGCACGAGCTCGAGGGCTGAAGGCAACGGTATACAAGCGGTCGGCCTCTTCCCCTCTTGTTTGGTATGACGCTTTGAAAGAAAGGGCCATCATCGTTAGCGTCATCGACATTGTCGTCATCATCATCATCATCACCATCATCAGAAGCAGCACCAGCACCACCAGCAGCAGCAACACCACCACCACCATTACCATCACAAACACTACCAACGTCTCCGCACATCACTATCATAGTCATCACCAGCAACACCAGCAGCATCATCGTCATCAACACCATCATCATCATTCCAACCACCACCACTACCACCATCATCATCATCATCATCATCAGCATCGTCGTCATCATCATCATCATCATCATCACCGTCATCATTGAAATCGTCGTCATCGTGGTCATCATCAACATCGTCATCATCACCATCAACACAAACATCGTCATCGTCATCGTCGCCGTCGCAGTCGACGTCATCGTCGTCGTCATCATCATCATCATCATCATCACCATCATCATTATCATCATGATCAGTATCATCATCATCATCATCAGCATCATCATCATCATCATCAGCAACTCCATCAACATCAATCACATCATCAGCATCAGCATCAGCATCAGCATCATCAGAGCCAGCACCACCACCGTCACCATCACAACCACCACCACCATCACCATCACCATCATCATCACCGTCATTGTCATCATCACCATCACCATCACCATCATCACCAACATCAACATCATCATACTCATTACTCGTGTTCGCATCATCATCATCAACATCATCACCATCATCATCATCATCATCATCATCATCATCATCATCATCACCTCCTAGTCCTTCTCCTCGCCCTGCTTCTCCTCTGCCTCTCCTCCTCCTCCTGATCCTCCTCCTCTTCCTCCTCCTAGTCTTCTTTCTGCCTCCACCGTCGTCCGCTCCTCCCCCTCCTCCTCCTCCGCACCCCTCCTCCCCGTCCAACGCCGCTCCCTATTCCTCATGCCCCTGACTTGCTGGCGGGGCACGCCTCCCCGTGGGGCTCACATGTGGACCTCGGGTGAACAGTCGCGCGCACGTCCCCAAGCGCGCATCACGACCTCTCTCGCATCCCCTTCGGGCTGTCGCGGATGCTCCCACTCCTCTGGCTCCTGTTTCTCCTGCTGCTGTTGCTCATCTGTGTCCTCCTCTTCCTCTCTTGCCCCTCGCCCCTTCCATTACGCCTCCCTCTCGTCCTGGCCACTCCACTGGCAGCTCTCACGTACAACATGTGGTTCCCCTCATTCTAGTCTTTCTCTCTCTCTCTCTCTGCCTCCCTCTCATCACGCACCTGGCCTACTCAATGTGCCAGCGTGGAAGCGAAAGAGACCGGGGCCGAATAGGACGACGGGGAGGATGAGCAGGAACATGGGAAATCTTCCCCCCAGGGAAAAGACGATAGAGAGTGGGAGGGAGCAGGGTGCAGCGCAGGGAGGAGGAGGAGCAAGGAGGAGGGAGGGGGGGGGAGGGGAGGACCGAGGAGGGAGACAGTGCCCCCCCCCCTTCGGCGCGGCTCCCGCTGCGCTTCTCCGCGCCCGTCCGCACGGCGGGGGCGCTTCTGGGCTCGTCGAAGCAGAGCACGTTCGCCTGCTCGCTCTGCCTGGCCTCCGTGCCCTGTCGGCGGGCAGGGCGGCGACGACGGCGGCCGCGTGGTGCGAGGAGGAGGAGGAAGATGAGGACGATGAGGAGGCAGGAGGGGTCCCTCTGACTCTCGCTCTCGTCACCACTTTGACTGCCATTCTCGACTTTGCATGCCCACGCTGTGTCGCCGCTGCGCCATTGCTTTGCTTCAGTCGTTGCTCCCCCTCCCCTTCTGCCCTTCTCCTCTCCTCCTCCCGTTCCTCTCTTCCCCGTCCTCTCCTCCCCTCCTCCTCTTGCATCCCGCCTCCCCACCTCCCCTTCCCCTCTTCCCCTTCCCTTTCCCTCCTCCCATTCCCCTCCTGCCCTTTCGAGGCTCAGTCGAGACTCTCTTCTACGCTCTCGGCTTTGCTCCATTCCCCATTGTCCCCTTTCCCTCCCCGCTCTCGTTCCCCGCCTCCGGCGGGTGCGCGAGCGCCTAACGTAGGCGGGGTGGAGGTTGGGGGGTCGGTGCCCCCCCCCCCCCTGGGCCGCACGCCCGTCTCCTCCGCCTTCTGCGTCCCGTGTGATCTCGCCTCCCTCCCCTCCCCTCTCCGCCCCTCCATGTCCAGTTTGGCGGGGGCGTGCCCTGACGTCGGAACCCAGGTGGGCTCGGACGGCCATTCCCCGTGCATTGTTCGATTTCGTGCGTGTGTTCTTTCGCTAGATGATCCGAGATGCTCCTCGTTGGTCCTCGCCGAGAGAAAATGCACATGTCCGAGCGATACCAGGCCACCCGAGACCTCTTGATGGGCACGCCCCTTCTGGGGCGAGCGCGGAAGACATCACCCTTTCCCAGGCGCGCGCGCGCAGGGAGAGGAGGGGAGGATGAGCAACATGAGGCGGATGGAGCAATTGCAGGACGGGGGGGGAAGGCAGAGGGAGGAAGAGGAGCAGTAGCCTCGTAATCCTCCTCGCTCTCCTCCTTCTCCTCCTCATCCCCCTCCTCGTCATCGTCGTCATCATCACCATTACCATCGTCACAGCCATCGTCATAGTCATCACCAACATCGCGTCAATACCACATGCTTTATTTTTCCACAATAATAGAAACCATCATCGGAACCAAGTTCAATACCATCAACATCATCACCATCCACCTTCTCTCGCTTCGCCTTTTCCTCCACTACCTCTCGCTAGGGCTCCTCCACCTGATGGTCCCGTCTTCCTCATTCCTCCTCCTTCCCTACCTTCCGCCTCCCTGTTCCTTCGAGTAGGGCCAGCTGGGCAGGGGCTACATTCCCGGAGTGTAGGGAGGGAGGGACAGCGGACGGGAAAAGTCACAAATAATGAGGGGAAGGATGGAGTCGGAGAAGGGGCAAGCAAGCGAACGAGATAGGCGTCCAAAGGCACGAACACCCACCGTGTGAGATCCGAGGGTTGCGTGAGCAGCGGACGCGAAACCTGGGAGAATGTTGGGCACCTCAGGAAAACGGCACCTTAAAACCCCCCCAGGCTAAGACAACTCAGCCTACACATGAACCGAAAGCCCCAAGACAGGATGCCCACGAAGAGGGCGGGGTCAGGCCTGTACGGCCTAGCACCCCACCTTCTGTCAGGGATCAGGTCCACGGCTGATCCCGTCGATAGCTGGAGCCAGAGAAGGGTATGGAGTGGGGAAAGGAGGAGGAGGGAGGCACTGGGGGGGCACACGAGGAACGGTAGAGTAGGATCGTCAAGGGGGCGGTGGGGCGGAGAGGATCGGGAAGGGGGAGAAGGGAGGGAGGAAGGGAGGATGGGAAGGAGGAGAAGGAGGGATCAAGCAGAGGAGAAGCAAGGGAAGTAACGCTCTTCATGTCCGTCCTCGGGCAGGATGAGCACAAAGACTTCCACCCCGTCCGCGTCCATCAACCTGCAACGTGCCGGCGCCGCTGCACTCCCTCCCCCTCCACCACTAACACCATCCCCCTCCTGCTCCCCCATCCTCGCCCCCATCCTCCTCCACCTCTTTCGCTAATCCCTCCATCGCTTCGTTCTCCCTTCCGCCTCCTCCTCCTCCTCCGCCTCCTCCGCCTTCTTCTTCTCCTCCTCCTCCTTCTTCTTCTCCTCCTCCTCCTTCTCTTTTCTTCCCCCCAGATCTGTCTATTTCTCTCTCGCTCCCTCCCCCCTCACAATTCCACCTCCACCTCCACCTCCCCCTTCCCCCTCTCTTCGTGCTCCTCCTGCTCCTCCTACTCCTCCTCCTCCTCCTCCTCCTCCTCCTCCTCCTCGTCCTCCTCGTCGCCCTCCCTCCTCTCTCACGCGTCGCCGTCGTCGTCGTCGCTCTTTTCACGCGCCGTCGTCGCTGTCGACCGAGCCCATCAGCCCGCGGCAAGCCGGAAAGGCACCGCACGTCGGCCCTGAGCGGCCCAGGCAGCCGCCCCCGACGACGCTCCCCTTGCTCGCCTCACTCCCTCCTCCCCTCTCCCTCTTCCTCCTCCTGGTTGTCCTACGTTCTTCCTCCTCGTCCTTCTCCCTCCTCCTCCTCCTCTTCCTCCTCCTGCCTATCTTGCTCCTCCTCCTCCGCCCCCTCCGCCTCCTCCTCCTCCTCCTCCTCCTCCTCCAGCTCCTCCTCCTCCTCCTCCTCCTCCTCTTCCTCCACCCGCTCATCTTTCCCCCTTCCTCTTCATCCTTCTTCCTTCGTCCTGAGGCCTCCTCCTCCCCCTCCCTCATGTTCTTCCTCCCTTGTTACTATCATCTTCTTATCCTCCTTCGCCTCCTTGTCTTATTCCTCCTCCTCCTCCTCCTCGCGCCATCCTTCTCCTGCTCATGACTCTCTTCTTTCTTTGTCTCTCTCCTCCTGCTTATGTTTCTTCTCGTATCCCTCGTCTTCCTTCTCTGCTGTCTTCCCATCTTTCCACCTGCTGATGCTTCTCCCTCCACCCACATCCATTCTGGATAACTCCCTCCCTCCCCCCACCCACCCATGTTCGCCCATCCCTTCCTGGCTCCCGCCCTCCCTCCTTCCTCACCCCTGATCCCCCCATCCTCTTGGCGTGGGGCCACAGATCGTGATCACCGCGTCTCTCGGAGGGCCGCCCTCCGCTGCTGAAGCACTGCGCGGAAACGCTGCCCTCGCTTCAGCTCTCCGATCGGGTGGACAGCGTGCAGGCCAGTGATCACCTCTGCTTTTGCTCGCGCCGCCTTGAATAGGAGACGACTAAGACGCCATGAACATAAACTTTTGGCGCTCCGCGCGGATTTCTTGGACCTGCGCTGACCCCCCTCCCTCGCGCGCGGAGCGCGCCACTGGCGGCGCCGGCGGTGCCGCTGGGAGGGCCCCAGCGCGGATCTAAGAAATCCGCACGGAGCGCCAAAAGTTAATGTTCATTGCGTTTTTTCTTCTTCGATTCGCTCGCGGCCGCCCCGAAACGAGGCTGCGAGACACCTGGTTCCGACGAGGCACCCGGGGCTGCCCGGCCTCGACGAGCTCTTGATGTGCTCGGCAGTCTACGCTCGCCTGCTGCAGGTCGGCGAGCGCGCTCACGCGGGCGGTCCCGCAACTTTAGGCGGCTCTGCGTGCCAGTCGAAGAACATCCTCCCCTCCGCCTCCTCCGCCTCCTCCGCCTCCTCCTCCTCCTCCTCCTCCTCCTTCCTCCTCCCTCCTCCTCCTCCTCCTCCTCCTCCATGTGCGGTCTTTTGCGCCTCCAATGCCCCTCGAGGCCGCACTCTCTGCATCTGTGGCACAGCTCCTCTTTTATAGTGAAGGGGCTGCACAGTCTCACACCCCGTTCCAGTGCGATTTTCCGCGATGCGGATTCTCGTTGTTTGGGACCTTGGGATTCGAGTTCCGCGATGCGGATAATCGTTGTTTGGCATTTGTTGTCGTCGTCCCACCCGCAAACAAACGCGGACCCACCTGCGTCCCACTGGGCGGACCACCCACACAACTGTGACAAACGAAAAACGGCCCCTGCGTTGGGCCTGTGGTTGTTTGCAAATGCATACTTTGGAACCTCGAAGCTGCTGATGACCCTCCCGTCCCCCACACTTATCCGCAACTGCGGGGGCTATGGTAAACTTTCAGCACACTACAAGCTGATGTGCGCTCTGCTTGTCCCCAACAGGGGCTATGGTATACATTCAGCACGCTCCAAGCTGATGTGCGCTCTGCTTGTCCCCAATTATGTGCACGGAAAATGGTCATGACTCCTCGCACTGAGCCGTGGCCAGCCGCCGTCTGAACACTTTATGCCTTGAGAATTCGAAGCTTAAGGGGTTGACAATTGGGGGGGCCTTGTGCGCTGATATGTTCCTGAGTTTTCCCCCATCCGTCTTCGGACGAGGGACATGGTGCAGAGCTCATTGTGCAATACTGTCAATGAGGCGGGCGCTGGCACGTTGGCTCCACGCCGTTTACTCGCGGACCGACCCTTCAAACAGGAGGGTGCGTCGTGGAGTTTGACTTTGGATCGATGCGCGAAAAACTGCACTCGATTTCATTGGTGCCACTGTATCACTCGAAAACAATGTAATACTACTTTCCTTTGGGGACGCTTACCGTTTGTGTGCGAACGCCATGTATTGGGTTTCTTCCCGACGTGAGCAGACTGTCGCTCCTCGCCGTTGTCCGCAGGGGAGGCAAGCCCTGTGCGCACGACTCCCCGCGAGCACCGAAGGGAAATGGTGGCGGAGGAGAGCGCGACGATGAAACCTCGCCGCGGTTCTGTCAACGCCAACGCGCCCCCATGAAACGGGTTCACGTGGGCGGATCCCCGACGGAATGAGGCGGGGGTATGGGGAGAGACGAAACAAATATTAAAGAGAGCGCGATCCACCGCCGCTTTACTGTGGGAAAATTTCTCCCTCTTTCTCCGGACCCCTCCTCCCGAAAATCCCCCCCCTGCTGGACCCCCCCCTCCCCCCCAGCCCCCCCCCCAAACCCTCCTAACCCCCCCGTCACCTCCAGAAAACCAGAGGCGGGTCAACACCGGTTCGACCCCCCCCCGTCTGGAAAACCAAAGGGGGGTCACTACCGGTTCGAGAAAAACGGGGGGGGTCACTACCAGTTTGAACGCCCCCCCCCCCCAGTCCATCATTGCAAAAGGGGGGGTGGTCACTACCAAGTTCGACCCCCCCCCTCCAGAAAACCGGGGGGGATCACTGCTGTGGTTCGAACCCCCTCCTTTCTCCAGAAAACTGCCCCCCCCCCCCCCCCACACACTCACCGCCAGCAAACGACTCCCCGGTCCCCACCACCGTCTGCACCACATCCCCCACTGCGGTCCCAGCACCACTGTCCCCACCACCACTCTCCCCACTGTTCCCACCACCGTCCCCACTGTCCCCACCAGTGCCCCCACCACTGTCGCACTGTCCCCACTGTCCCCACCACTGTTCCCACCACGGTCCCACTCTCCCCACTTTCCCCACGGTCCCAACCACTGTCCCACTGTCCCCACTGTCCCCACTGTCCCACTATCCCATTGTCCCCGCTGTCCCACTGAGCTGCCCCACTGTTCCAACCACTGTCCCCACTGTTTCCACCACTGTCCCCACTGTACCTCCGTCCCATCGTCCCACCACCGTACTCGCCACCGCCCTCACCACCATCCCCACCACCACTGTCACCACCACTGTCCCACTGTCCCCACCACATTCCCACTGTCCCCACACCACTGTCCCCACCACCACCGTCCCCACCACTGCCCCAGAGTCCCCACCACTGTCCCACTGTCCCCACTGTTCCCACTATTGTTCCCGCTGTTCCCACCAGTGCCCCTATAAGTGTCTCACTGCCCCCACTCTCCCCACCATTGTCCCACCACGGTCCCACTCTTCCCACTCTCCCCACTGTTCCCACCACTGTCCTACTGTCCCCACCACTGTCCCCGCCACTGTCCCACTGTGCTGTCCCACTGTCCCCACTGTCCCGACCTCTGTCCCACTGTCCCTACTGTCCCCACCACTCTCCCCACTGTACTACTGTCCGACCACCGTCCTCATCACCGCCTTCACCACCAACTGTCCCACTGTCCCCACCACTGTCCTGCTATCCCCTCACCGCTGTCGCCACCACCACCGTCCCCACCACTGTCCGCACCACTGTCCCACTGTCCCCACACCACTGTCCCCACCACCACCTTCCCCACCACTGTCCCAGGAACTCCGCCACTATCCAGCTGTCCCGAAGAGCGGGAATCGTTTGCTGGCGGCGAGGAGGGGGGGGTTCGAACTGGTAGTGACCCCTCCCGTTTTTTTTGGGGGGGGGTCGAACTGGTAGTGACCCCCCCCTTTTCCTGATGGACTGGGGGGGGGGGTCGAACCAATAGGACCCCCCCCGCGGTTTTCGAGGGGGGGGGGGGGACGGGTTGAGAACCCCCAGCGACCCCCCCGGTTTTCCGCCAGCAGAGGTAGAACATGCTCTTGCATATATTCAGATATATTCAGGGGCAGGGAGAGGGAGAGAGAGAGTGAGAGAAAGAGAGAGAGAGAGAGAAACAAATAATGAGAGAGAGAGAGAGATAAGGAGAGAGAGAGAGAGAGAGAGAAAGAGACAGAGAAAGAGAAGAGAGTGTGAGAGAGAGAGAGAGAGGGAGCGAGAGAGAGAGAGAGAGAGAGCGAGACATACATCGTTATTATATAAAGAGCTAGAGATATCCATCGAATTATATATACACATCAAACAAAGACACACATAAAGAGAGAGAGAGAGAGAGAGAAAGAGTGAGAGTGAGATCCGTCCTTCCTCCCTCCCTCCATCTCCGTCCTCTTCCTTATGAATAACTCTTGCCTGTCGCCCCCCCGAGACGTGTCGGTATGGCGGGCCGGACGTTCCGCTGGAGATTTCCTCGAAAGTTATGATCCTGACGCTTAAATCTGGCAAGAGATTCGCGGATTGAGGGAACGTCGTTTTGGAACTATGGCTCTCGCCTTAGCGTTCCGCCCAAGCGTTTTAAAAAGTTTGCAAGATCCTCACGGGTGGAAATTGGGTCGTTTTCAACATGTGCCTCTTGCCTTCGAGCAGCGCACATTCGCCTTAAAGGTTTGGCAGAATTTCGCGGATGGAGTGCGGTTCCTTTTCAACATCTGGCACTCGCCTTAGCGTTGCGCGCATTCGTCTTGAAACATTGAATTTCGCGGATGGACAGCGGGTCGTGTTCAAAATGCAACTATCGCTTAGCGCCGAGCGAATGCGTTTTATAAGCTTGCAAGGACTTCGCGCATGGAGGGCGGGCCGTTTTCAAAACAGGGCTCTCGTTAATGCGCCGTGCGCATTCTGCTTCCCAGTTTGCAGGAGATTCACGGATGGAGGGCTGTTCCTTTTCCAAATTGGCACTCTCGCCTTAGCGCCGCGCGCGTACGTGTTCAAAGCTTACAAGATCTTCACGGATGGAGGGCGGCTCCCTTTTCCGAATGTGGCTCTCGCCTCGGCGCCGCGCATTTTCGTCCAAAAACCTTACAAGAGCTTCGCTGATGGAGGGCGGGTCATTTCCCTCGACGAAGCGCCGCGCGCATTCGCCTCAGAAACATTTACAACCACATATCATATTCTTATGGTTGACGTCCCCGGAATGGTGTTTCGGCTCGATTTAGGACTGTCAGGGCGCAGCAGTCACGATGGTTTGTGGTTTGGAAGTCACAGGAACGGCCTTTTGGTACGATTCAGGATCGTGATTCGCGGCGTTGCATTTCAAGGAATGGTGTTTTGGCATGTTTGAAGAGTCTCAGACCAGTGGCTTCCAACCGGGCACTTCCAGCCAGTGAAAGCAAGTTCTTGCTGTGAAGGGGGAACTTGGACGGACGTTTCTTTATTATTATTGTTTGTTTTTTGTTTGTTTTGTTTGCTTTTGTATTGTGTGTGTGGGGGGAAATCGGTGATGCGCCTTGTGCTTGCGCTTCTCCTCGGCCTCCTCCTCCCCCTCTCCTTCCCCAGCGGAGGAGGAGGGATGAGGCCTCCAGCGGCCCCCCAAAGCGCCCCGCACCTCCAGACCCTTTGACGACGAGGACGACGACACGGAGGACGACGACGAGGACGACGACGAGGACGACGACGGCCGTCGCCTGAACGACGACAAGGAGGACGACGAGGACGACAACAAGGAGGACTACGATAGCGACGACGAGGTCGACGACGAGGACGACGACGGCCGCCGCCTGAACGGCAGCAGCGGCACCCCCAGGCGGTTCCGCGCGGCGAGCTGCACCTACCGCGCGCGAATCCGATCGGCGGCCGGCGATCGACGGCGCAGGCGACCCCCCGACGGCCGGCCGACGACGATCGACCGACCGACGATCGATCGATCAAGGGGAAGAACGGGACGATGATGGGGTGGAGGACGGTACAGTCGACTCGTATCGTAAGGATGCACGATAAGGATGCAAGGGCCTTGGAAGGCCGTTTCGAAGCTCTTCGAGGGGGCGTGGCGAAGGATGGACCGAGAAAGCAAGGATGCAAGGGTACCCTTGGGAAGGGTGCCCATCCCTACTATGCGGGTTGACTGTAGATCGATCGCCGTCCACCTCGTCATCGTCCCTCTCGTCCCCCTGATGCTGCTGAAACGCAACTCCTGGTCCTCCTCTTCGGGCCCGACCTTGCCGAATCTCCTCACACCGTTCTCCTCGTCGTCGTGCTGCGACGGGTGCAGGGACGACGACGAAAATGGCGGCCGCGACGAGCACGGGAGCGAGGAGAGACGAGGACGACTACGTCGCCCTCTTCATTTTCGTTTTCCTCATCGTCGCCGTTCTCCTCCTCCTCCTCCTTCTCTGCCTTCTTCTTCTATAACTATCATGAGCTGTTTTTTTGTCGCCCCCTTTTTCGTCGTCGCCTTCTTGTTCGTCGTCGCCTTCTCCTTTGTCGTCGCCTTCGTCGTCGTCTTTGTCGCCGCCGCCACTGCCCTCTTCGTCGCTGCCTTCCTCCCTCTCCTTCTCCGCCTCCCCCCCCGTCTTCGCCCACGCACTCACCCTCACCGCGTACCTCGCCGTCGCCTCCGTCGCCGCCGCCATCCTCGCCGCCGTCCTCGCCGACGCCGCCCTCCCTCTCCGCCGCCGTCGACGCCGTCGCGGCTGTCTAGCATGGAGGGAACGGGACCTGAGGGAAACTGGTCCTGGACACCAGGGTTGTCCCCCAGGGCCAGTTCTGCGTCATGGGTCGTTCTCTGACAGTCCCAGGGCCCGTTGAGGGCACCGAAACGCTTGGGCGTGGCTTCATGGGGGGGTCACAAATAGGGGGGTCAGAAAAGGTCCCCTTTCGTGCCCCTTTCGGGCCCCTCCGGACCCCCAAGGGGCTCGTTTAGGTACCGTTTGGGTACCTTTTCGGACCACCCTCGCCACCCCCCCATTTATGACCCCCCTATTACGCAACGCCCAAAACGCAGAAAACCCGGACCAAAAATCCGGACCCGTTTCCCTCAGTGACCCCTTTCCCTCACGGCGAGCCGTGCCCGAGGCACTCCCTGCGGCCCCGGGAGGGGTCGCGCCTCGTCGGTCCACACGCGCCCCCCGAGCGAGACGCCGCACATCTCCCCGAGGGCTCGCTGGGCCGCAGACTGCCCCCCGCGGGGAAGACGCGGAGAGAGAAGGAAGAGGGAGAGGGAGGACTGGGAGGACTTGGAGGACTCGGAGGAGGAGGGGAGAAGGAGGAGGATCCCGAGATCCAGATGAAGGTTGGAGGGTGAGTCCTTTACTGGACAGGGGCCTCGCCGCCGGAGCTGCAGGCCCGCCGGGCACTCGTCATTCAGGGAGGCGCTTCCCGCTGAGGGCAGACAGGCCTGTAGGGACCGAAGAGGAGTTGCTATGGCCCCCGCCCTCCTCCCAATCCTGCTGCCGTTTCTCCTCCCAATCCTGCTGGCCCCTCCTCCTCCTCCTCCTCCTCCTCCTGCCCCTCCTTTGCCTGTTCCTCCCTCCCCATCACAGCATGAGAAGGGGCAACGAGAAAGAGGGCGACGAGGAGAAGAAGGAGGAGGGACGATGAGAGAAGCCGTAGCTGTGCTGGAGTAGCCGCTCAGGGCCGACTTGCAGTGCACTTTTGGCTCGACGCGGGCTGATAGGCGCGGGCGCAAGTGGTGACGCGTGAGAATGGCGACGACGGCAGTGGCGCGCGAGGATAGAGGAGGGATGATGAGGATCAGGGATGAGGCGGGGAAGGAGGTGGCGGAGGAGGAGGAGGCAGAGCAAGAGAAGAAGGAGGAGAAGGAGGAGAAGAAGGAGGAGGAGGAGGCGGAGCAGGGGGAGCAACAGCAGCAAGGACGACGACGGCGACGGCGGCGGCGAATCCACGCCGCCCTCCTGCGCGGAGTCCTCGTCGGCGTACTGCCCGGCGGCAGTCGTGCAGAGGTCGATCTGGCACCAAACGTCCTCCCTGAGCCTCGGAGGTGGTGGCGACGACGACGAGGGAGTCGGACAAGACAACACTCCTCATACTAAGCTCGTTCTGAATTCCACCAGCTCTGTGTTCCTAGGTGGTTAATTCTTCCATCCTCCTCTTTCCCTTGTGGGAGAGGCTTACCTCTCCCCCAACACCTTCTCCCTGGGACTGGAAGAGGGCGTTCCGCGCGGGGTTGGAACGTCCAACATGGCCCAAAACGGCCCGCAAGAGGGCCCAACTGGCCCAAGATGGCCTCCAATCGATATTGCACACTGTACCGACATATTGTTCAAGAGAGCTTCCACCACGCTCCCAAGAAGCCGCACGACTGCCCCAAAACCACTCCGTGTGGCCACGGAGCCTTCCAAGGACCCCCCGAGAGGCCCAACTCCTTTCAACGCCATATGAAAATTGATGTACAGTCTCGCAGATTCGCTTCCGAAGGGCTCTTGAGGCCTCACATGTCTCCAACATGACCCACGAAGAGGGGCCCAGGACGGCCCTACGAGTACCCAAGATCGCTCCAAGAGAGCCCCGAAGGGCGACTTTGTTGGCCTCGACGAGACTGACATACGCGCCGCCCAATCGATGACCTCCAGGATGGCCCCACTAGAGACCCATCAGTGCTTCGAAAGGGGCTCAAGAGAGCCCCAACGATATCCGAAACTCCCCTGAGAGGCCCCACTAAGGCCCGACGATGGCCCCAAGATGCCTTCAAGAGGTCCCCAGAACGTGACTGCATGCTGCTACACATCCCTGATCACAACAACTCGCCGGGTTATTGTTTAGGATGGGCTGGGGCAATACGCGAAGCGTTACCAATTCAATGTCTGGCAAGACAGTTGCAGACACAATAGTTTAGCACAGGCGGGATGGGCGGGATCGCAGCAAGGCTTCCCCACGCCCTCAGCCAGGTGCCTCAAAAGCCCCATAGAAGGCAGTGCCAGCAACACGCTGCGGACTGTACGCCAGCGCTGAGTCTAGGAAGAGAACCGTTGTGAGCACTCCGAGGCAAAAGGCCTGAGCTCAGCTCTCCGCCGCCGCCGCGCTCGGTCTCCGCGCCCTCGTCTTCGGCCTTCGTCCTCGTCGCCCTCACCCCTGACCTCACTCTCGCCGTCGCCCCCTCACTCGGCCTCGTCATCGCCCTCGCCCTCGTCGTCATCATCATTGTCGCTGCCATACACCCTGCGAAATGCTTAAGAAATCATGGGTTAAGAAATTCATAGTCTCAGAACTTGAATAAAAACCCAGCCTTTCTGTTAAAATCTTAGGATTTACATTGAAACGTTAAGAATAATCGAGACTCTGGCCGAAACCTTACGTTTTCTTAAGCATCGCCTAGGGTGTACTTCTCCTCCTCCTCCTCCTCCTGGCCCCCCAGAGGCTTCTCGTCGCCGCGGGTAGATCTGGCTCGAACTCAATCCAGGGAGCGCCCTCCCCGCCATTGTCCTCGTCCTCCTCGCCTCGTCCTCGTTGGTCTGCTCCTCCTCTTTCTCTTGATCGCCCTCGTCCTCGCCCTCGCTCGCGCCCTCGTCCTGGCCCTCCTCCGCCTCTCTCCTCGCTCTTATAATCTTTCTCGTCAACACCCAATCCTCCACCTCCTCCTCGCCCTCCCTACCATCCCCTCTTCCTCCTCCTGGCAATGCCCATGGGGTCTCAGCGGGTGTGGAGGAACGCTGGGAAGGAGGCCGACATAACGTTAGGAACGCGGAGGGGAAGCTGAGGAGGGTTGGGCAATGATCAGGCGTGAAAACAGAACGACGGGAGGACCGGGAGCTCTTTGTCGCAACGCTGGCGGACGCACGTCGCGGTCGGGGCGGTTGACGGGGGCGCGGCATCGCACATCAAGCACAGGGGGCACGGATGGGGGGAGGGCAGCGGCGGACCGCGCGCTCCGAAGGGGGGGGGCGAGAAGGACAGGGGAGGCAGAGGGCAGGAGAAGAAGAGGGCCAACAGGTGGAGAAGAAGGGGGATGATGAGCAGGAGCAGGCGGAGAAATGGCGAGAAGGAAGAGAGAGGACGAGGACGACAGAACCGCCGAATGCCTGGCCAGGCCACTCGACCACCCGAACACTCCCTTCCGGACCCTGGGCAGGCGTTCTCTCCGGGGCTTGCTCCGCCTTCCCTTCGGGTATTGCTAGAAGTGCCCTTGGCCTACGGTGCCCAACAGGATCTCCAAGGAGGCCCCCACGGCCTCCAGAGCACCCCTCATTAGGCCCAGAGGGCCCCAATAACTTCAAAATGGAGCGGGAAGCTGGGAACACCTTGCGCCAGGGGCACCTTCAGCAACTCCCGATCCCTTGCTGGGCGGAGGCGAGCGGGGCAGCGCCAACCCAGTCGGGGGCGGGAGGGGCGCAACGCCGCCTGTTCGACCCCAGAGGGAGGGGCGGCGTCCGCCTTCGCTCCCGCTTGGTCTCGCTGGCCTCAATCGCCTGCGCGGGGCAGGGCGCGCGCGTGCCGCGAGGAGGAGGAGGAGGAGGAGGAGGAGGAGGAGGAGGAGGAAAAGGAGGAAGAAGAGGAAGAGGAGGAGGAGGAGGAGGAGGAGGAGGAGGAGGAAGAGGATGAGGATGAGGATGAGGATGATGATGCTGATGATGATGATGATGACGATGATGATGATGATGATGATGATGATGATGATGATGATGATGAGGAGGAGGAGGAGGAGGAGGAGAGGGGCGGAGGAGGAGGAGATGGGCGGAGGAGTTCTCTGCTTGCTCTGCCTTGGGCATAGTCGCGGACCACTTCTTTTTCTCCTTGCAGCTCGATGCGCCTGCTGTCTCACACAGGCGCGGGGCGCGGGGCCGATCGGGATCGGCCGACGGACGCTGCGAGCTCCGGCTCCCGCGGCATGCCTGATGAAAAAGGGGGGCGGGGGGTGGTGGGAAGAGGGAGGACACAAGGCTTGGATTGCGCTCTGATTCGCCGAGGGGACGGTCAGCTTAGTGCGGCACTCACTAGTTGCTGGCAGAAACACGCGGTATCTAGGGGCACGGGCGCCGAGGTGTAAATGCTCCACCCGACCATGTCCATGCCTAACCCATGCCACCCCCATATCGTCGGAAGGCGCTCAAGGCGCATCGCAACGTAGCAGGAGTAGGGAAAAGGCAAGAGGAGGCTGATCAATGTGGGGAGCAGTTGAGATGGCCTGCGAAGGGCCGAGAACGCAGCTGAGTGGGCGGGTGCGAGGCAGGGGCCAGCGGGAGTGCACGGTTTTCGCGCGCTCGACCTGTGGCCCATGCCTGCGCCAACGCCGCAGTGCGAACCTCGTCCCCGCCAACATACCTAAACTCCACCCCCAGACCCGCAAAGAGGAGACTGCCTGGCAGTCCCAACGCTAGTCCCTGCTAGAGACCGAACGAAAAGAGAAGCACCACTATCGCAATCGAGGCCGAAGAGGGCAGCGAGAGCATCGGTCCTGAGCCACCGCGCCGTAGCGCCCCCCGGGTTGCGCGCCACCAGAGAGCGAGCAAGCGCAGAGAGAGGTGGCTGAGAGAGGCGGCATAGGATAATACAACAACTTGCTACTCTGCACCTACACCCCTCCGCTCACAACTGAACTACAGCCCCCAACCTCTCATGACCACTTACAGGCAGCAACTTATCCGAACAGGCCTCTGCTAAACTTTGGATCAGGGGTCCGCGGGGCTACTTCGCGCAAACGAGCCTGTCTCGCTTCCTGGAGCTTAGCAGCTCTTCTGACGCGTGCCTGCGCGCGGTTTTGCGCGATGCGCTCCAAGACTTCAGGTGCTAGCGGCGCAGGGGCCGGCGGGGGGGGGGGGGCTGTTGCCCTCTGCGAGTCGCCAAGAAAAGCACGTGCATCTACATGCTCCTGCTCCTCATCAGCCTCCGGTGGGCCTGTAGGTCTAGCCTCCGCCATGTCGTCGCGAACCTGCGAGGTGGGAGAAGTAACCTGTTCCAGTGTCGGGGGGGGGGGGGGGGGGCGCGTATAGGTCGAAAGCGATCGAGCTCGGGGTCGCGTCGGACACGGCGTGCGCGCCGAGAGACAAAGTCAGGGACCCATCCCTCGCCTGTGCCAGATTAGGGATCCCAGGAGACGAAGAAGCGCAAGAGTCCATCACGTACTCTACCATCCTCCCCCATGCCATCCGGAACAACGGGCTCAATGCTGCCCACTTCCCCCTCCCACATGGTGCGCGCTGCATCGGCGGTTGTAGCGCCGATGCGCTTGCACAGGCCGGCGGGGTGCGTCCTTTTTGGCTGTGCGCCACTCCCTCCTATCCCTATCATGCCCAAGAAGCGTCTCGCGTCCGTCCCTGCCGTGTGAACATCTGCCGTTTCCAGGGGTCGCAAGCAGGGCGGAGTGCAGCCCTGGCATTCTATGTGCAACGATCCTCGTGGGGGCCCTTGACGTCTGACCATGTTCAAACTGATCAAAATCGGACGTCGAAGCTGCTGGGGGCGACTGGAGAGCACGCGTCGGATGGCTGGTAAACGAGCTGACGGCTTGGAGCCTCCATCCACACGGCTGGGGGCGCTCGAGCCAACATGACGTCCCAACCTGCGGGTGGGCAGCGAAAAGCTCCAGCATACCATGGCACAGCGCATTGCCCACCCACAGCTGTTCCGTCTGACGCTCATGTAACTGCCGTCTTGCTTCGAAATTGTCATGCGTCCGAAGTGGTGGGGGGCCTTGTCCTTCTGCCCGTCGAGAGGCAGACCAGGTCTCGCGCGGCGGCCCGCCGCCCGACGCCACCGCCCGCCTTGCAAGGATGTGAGACCTCCATTCTGCGTGCGTGTCCCGATTCATGAAATCCCCGCCCATTGCATGAATGGCGATATCCACAGACAGGACATACATTGCATAGTCTGCGCTGCAATGCGCCCATTCAACCTGTGCCTGCACATCCCCCGCCCTCCTCCGTCCACAAAACAAATTTAGCGCAAACTATCCCACTCGTCTGAAGGCTCTCGGTATGGGCTCGGCTGCAATGCCAGTGTACCGTTCTGTCAGGAACTCTCAGTGGTGTATTGAACAGGGTTGGCCGGTGGCGGCGGCGCGACATCGGCATTCACGGGCGTGGGGGCTTGTAGGCAAGCGGCAAGCCCAGCTGGGAGAGCGGGGTCAGCGACCGCAATCTCCACGCGCGCAGTGCCAATGTCCGTCGTAGCAATCACTGAATGCGCATGCTCTGCGGTGGGGCCAGCTGCACGAACTGTCGGCACAACAACATGACGGCGAGACACCGGCACACCTGGGATCCTGCCTGTCATGGGGGCTGAGAAATCGGCAGGTGTAATGTGATAGCACGGCGCAGCTCCTGAAATAGTAACACCTGGTGCAGCAACTGCCGTGGTAGGATTACTCATCAATATAGATAAACACCGTGGGGAATAATGTGCTAGGTGGTCAACTAGGTGTGCCCGAGCATGAAATACATATAGGCGCGCGTGACATTGTCCGTCTGGTGACGCCCATGCACGTGCCAAGGCTGCGTTCTGAAGGTGAGTGCGCGCGGCATGCGCGCGTAATGCTCCATGCTTACGGAGAGCGCGCGCACGCCATGGACGCGAGACACTGTCATCATCTGTGTCGTTAGCTGCACATGTAGGTGGGTCTACAAGTAGTCCATTACTATCCGTCCAAACACGTTCTGGCACTCCCAGGGGTCGGCCTTCCTGAAAACATGCCCCCCCCACTGTGGCCACATCAACCAACATTTCGAGCATGAGATTGGGCTGTAGCGTGTAACGCCATCTTGATACTGTGTTTCCAAGCTGTTTGATTTCGTAGGATGAGGGACTGAAGTCCTCAAGCGGTGGTGGGAGGGAAGCACAAGCTACGGCAGCAGCACGCAGCCACGAGCAATCATCCATGACCATTCCCAGCCATGACCTGGCGCGGCAACCCATCTGAGTAGTGTCGTACCACTCGGCCCGTAATAAGGCAAATGCAAGTTTGGGCCCTGTGTGCAATAGTGAAACCAACGGGCGCAAACGTGCAGCTCTTCTTAGAACGTCGGGCGGGGGTCTTCTGAGTCTGGCCAGCACTTGGCCATCACTTATGCACGATTCGGCTTCCACTGAACGAACCTTCGCCGCCGCTCGGTAGACTTTCATACTTCAGCGTCGACCATTTTGGCCTCCGCCGTTTTTAGCATAGTCCAGGCGCCCGAGTTGAAGAGACGCCCCGATAACACCAGGCTGTCGGCGAACATCATGCATTTCGGATCGGCAAGAGCCTTGGTGGGGAAAGCTCTAGTGCGCAACGCCGGTAGCGTAGCTGTGGCACTGCTGGCTCGATGTCGGACCTCGGCCCCCATGTTGCCTTCGAAATCAATAACTGAGCCAAGATGTACATAGTGCTTGACACTCGGTGCCCGAATAATCCCAAATAGCTGTGTCTGCGCAACCACATGCCCGCCGCGCTCGTGCCGCGCGTGCTGCTTCGCCTTCTTCGCCCCTTTTCCTCGGTAAGCCAACGGGGCGGCCGTTTTTGTAACGCCGTGGTCTCTGCTAGCAAACGCATCGGCAACCGCGGTGAGCGCGCGGCACATGGCAGGATACAGGTCGAAGGCAGGTACAATCACAATGATGGCGCCGTCATCCGCAAAAGTGGCGTCCAACAGCGGCACGGTGGTAGCAGCGTCGGCATCCGTCACTATGCTCTGCGCGCTATTGCGCTCATCTGTTGGCGAATGCAGGGCTAGTCCTTCAGCGCCCACTTGATTGCCGAGCAGGGCCCCCCCCACAAGGAGCCGCGACGATTTCAAAATGGGAGAATTTCGAACACGCTGCTTTCCTCAAGCTGGACCGCGGGGAATCATCATGGAACGCCCGCGCGCCATCGAATCGCCGCGCGCCGCCTGCCCCCGCCATTGAATCGCGTCGGGCGAGCCGCGGAGGCGCGACCAACGCGGCCCCCGAGCCAGGCCGCCGCGTGACCGCCATGGAACTGATCGCCGCGATGACGCTTCATTCCGCAACCGTCGGGCGTAGCGTCCGCGCGAAATTGGGCGCGAGCCGCAGTCGAAGCGCAGGCGGAATCGGTGCGCGCGCACAGCCGTCGAAGGGCCAGGTGCTGCCCCGGCCGCGCGGCCGATAGCTTGCGCGGGAGAAGCACCTCACAAGCTAACTTATGATGTAACGCGCCGGCGCGCGAGCGCCACGTGGGGAATCGGAGGCGGTTGGGTCTCATGCCCGCGCAAGTTGAGCAAACTCCGCATCTGGGGAGTAGCGCTCGTGGTGCCCGCCGCGGGCGCGGGGGCCGCTGGCGCAGACTCTGCCGCGACCGCGGCGAGGCCCCGGCGCTCTCCCCTGGGGGCCGCGGCGCGCGGCTGCGCTGGTGGCGGAGAAGAGGGGCCTGACGGCAAACGTCGGCTTCGAAGCCTCAACGGCCGGCCGCGGGCGCGGCGGCGCAATCGCGAATCCGCCGCGCGAGGCAGCGCAGCCCGCCGCGCGGGCATCCTCT